AAAAGATAGTGCTTATACATTTATAATTCAAATAAATGTATAATAAATATATCATTCATGAGTTTCCTTCTTTCAATTATGCAATTAGGCTGTTATAAATTTATATTGCATTCACAGCCCTTCATAATTTTTAATTATTCTTAAATTTTATTCATTTTTGCTATAAACAAACAACTATATAAATATGATTAGCCTTTAAAGCATTTATCTCTTAGAGGAATATTTCATTATGATGTGGCAATCTATTTCGCTTGGGTGTACTTACTTGATCAAAACTAACATTTCCATATTCATGTACCCCATAATGATGGTTGAAAACCTTAGCAAGGGTAAGTGATGGCTTTGAAGGTAGAGACTCGCTAAGCAATATGCCTAGGTCTTTTTCTTTCCAGACACAGAAAGCACCCTCTTTTTTTTCCTGCGAATCTTGAGTTGGCAGTGAATCAGCATCTTCAGCACTATAGAAACCACCAGCCTAGGGTCACCAAAAACAATACTTGATAAATTAAATATAATAATAGTAATCATAATATGGTATCTGAATAGCATAAAAAAGTTTGTATATGTAGCACTATGGAAAAACATACAGTTGATGCCCATATTTGCAATAATCGTAAACTCTACAAACAAGATACAAAAATTAAATAAAATTTCCATCAGTGTCATACCTAATGGACTTTTTGTATAAGCCACACTGACAAAAACTTACTCATAATGACATCCTCTTACCGTGTCGCTTAGATCTCTATCCACATATGTTAGGATATCGCGGGCCACATCTGCTAGCCCCTCGTCCTTAGACAACTGATATGCATCTAGGTATGAAATGGCCAGCTGGGCCTGATCGTAGAGCATCTTTTCAAAATGGGGCACGTGCCAATAGCGGTCAGTGGAATACCGATGGAAGCCCTGAAAACATAAGAAAATTAATATATCAATTCTTTTTTTGACATCTTTTATTCAACCTAATGGAAGGCTAAAGCTAGCCAATGTATGTAGATTTTTAATCTGATAAATTTAAGAACTGTCAAACTTCTAATAGACATGAAGAGACACACAAAATGTTTTGTCTGTGCATGGTATTATAGTGAACTGTAATTCTGTATAGTGAAAATTATAGTTCACTATAATACCTCCATGGTTTGTGCTACTGTATTTTAGACACACCTACACAGAGCATGAAAACAGTATTCTGTTGCGCAGTGAAATTCAACTATAGAGTATCACAGTCGTGTCGTCAAAACACCAGATGGCGCGCTCTGGACGTTGGTCACCATTCATTACGCCTGAATGACTTCATAATCTTAATGGTTTAGAATAAGCTTTCTGGAATAGGCATTTTAAAACCTAAAAATTTACCATCAAAATGTACTAAAAACACAAAAAGCTTGCAATATATTAGTTATCGAACACACATTTAATCATCAATTAACATTTACAAAGAAAAATTAAGATACAATTTCTTAATTATATTAAAAATTGGGATCAATGGTTTATCAGTGGAGAAAATGGTGTCATTTTGTGTCACCGATAGCAACAGAGCAGTATCATGTGGTTCCGCGAAGTAACACTGTAGTACTCTATATACAGCACACAAATTCATCACACACATTTTTGTAATTTGTTCTGAAGTCTAGAGGTTCAGCAAAAGATGACCAGAGACACCGATTGGTCAGAATATTCTTTGTCTCACAACCATTTATTTTTCTGCTGCTGTCAAGTGCTGCTTACATGCTCTGTGCAAATGCCCTTTACTGTAGGTTGGATAAAATATTTGAATATTTCCCCAATGAATACAATAAATTAATATCTACTTAAATTGTCTGTTTAAATAATCTTTTACATCATATTTAAACTTAAAAATTACTAAAGATTCTTACCAATCCAATGTGATCATTCATTCCACCCTTTGCCATCATCTTCAATGAGTGTAGGCACATGTTCAGGATTTCTTGACTACTGCCCTCACTAGTTTCACCACGACAAGCAGAAGCATCTTCTGAAGGCTCCTCTTTCTGATTTTTTGGCTCTGCAATTCCTGACTTTCCAACATTCATTCGTTTGAAATCATAGTAACGAAACATAAAGTTGAAATTTACTACAAAGAAAATATGAAAGAAATTAATAGAAACTATTATTAATCATTGTCTTTAACAAGGTGAATGAAAATATTCTTTTCATTGCGAAAACATTCATTATTTGTTTTGTAACACATCTTAAACAGATCCTTGTCATTTGATACCTTATGAAAAAAGATAGATCACCTTTCATCAGAATCGAACAGTCCACTTTCTTTCAACCAATAAAAACATTATATAAGGGGGAATTGTGCAATGGAAATGAAATGGAAAAATGGACCTAAATTTTTGTGATGAGTGATGCAAAATCAAAATATGCGATTTTTTGCCATTAAATGGTGTCAATGTATACCCAATATCATGTGAAATCACATTCACCAATCAAATTATAAGGATCTGTTTAGGTGTGTTATAATATTAGAATGGGAAATGAGAAGACTACCATACTGAAAACAAATATATACAAAACATATGTGAATATTTTAAATAACTAGTAAGCGCTCAAATTTAAGATTCTTGTAATACCTGGCTGAGGGAATTTTGGTGCATCACCAAATCCTCCATATTGAGGGTCATAACCCTTCTTCAGTTGGTCATAACAAGTGTCAATAGCCTCCTGACCAATCACAGGCTGTGTTTCTGTCTGCTTCACAACTGTGTTCTTTACAAGGGCATCCAAAATGGCTGAACCGCGCTTCTTCATGTCTTCCTTTTTGTGTGTCCATTGGCTAGCAATGTTTTTCAGGATCGTTGCAAAGCCAGGCCGTCCGAAACGATCCGTTGGCGCAAAGTACGTACCACCAGTAAGTGGTTTGAGGTCAGGGGTGATCCACACACTCATTGGCCAACCACCTCCACCACTTGTCGCCTAGAGACAAAGAGTAATGGGTAATATCTATGCCACTGAGTAGAGTTGTGTTTAAATGGAATAATTATAAACTTATTGTTTAAAATACATTGATTTCAGGTCATCAACTGCAAGCAAGACTTGCCAATTTCAGGATGGAAACATGTTACAGTAGAACCAGGGAGATGTAAAAAATTATTTTTTACATCTCACTGGTAGAACCCCTCATTTGGGACACCCCTATTAAGGGGACAATTTTTCAGCCACAAAATGAAGCAAAGTATTATCGTTTAACACTACGGCCAACCCCTATTATGGGAACACACCTATTAAGGGGACACTTTTATTGGTCCCAAAGGTGTTTTTTCCTGTAATCGGGGTTCTACTGTGTATTCAGCTCATTACTTATCCAAGTGCCATTGTAGGTATAATAGTACTTACCTTTCACAGGCTTCAGTAATGTATTTCTCTATGAAATACATTATATTTTTTGCACACTCTGGATGCAAACCAGTCATATGGTTGGTGTGAATGGAAAATAGTAAATTAAAGAAAAGGTGGAACAGGTGTGGAGGTAAAAGAAGGTTGTGTATATTAAGGAAATGTTGATAGTCAACAAAGCAATATCTCCTGCCCCACTTTGGTGAATGGTGCGCATCCAATAACTGAGGCATAATAAACTAGTGTCTTAAAATGGGGGGGGGGTGGTAGCTGATGGGTTTGCAAAGGTGAAGTGGGAGGGGAGCTCGATGATTAGGTGAGGGAGAGAGCTTGGAAAATAAGGTGATTGATTTTTTTTTTGCTTTAAACATATTCAGTTTGGGAACGACTGGGGGCGTAAGTACTTTTTTGGGGGGAGGTCTTCCTACATATACCACTAGCATGATGAAAAAATTACCTGAATGAAGGTCATGTATACCCTATCGACATCTGGCCTCTCTTCTCGATCAACCTTGATGCTCACAAAATGCTCGTTTAAAATTTTACCAATCTCCTCATCTTCAAATGATTCTCTCTCCATCACATGGCACCAATGGCATGTGGAGTAACCAACTGAAAATGAGAAAATTCAGTAACCATGGATACAAGTTTGATTATGTTAATGCAGGTCTAAATAGCTCTTTGATAATACCAAAAATAAATACACTCTTAATAGCTTTAAATATAATTTCAAAAAGTCTCTGATCTCTGCATATGCCTAAACACTAGTTACTCTTTTTCCCAAATCCGATATATCGTCACTTATACTTATTCTTAACTAAATTACTTTAAAATTACAATTTGCATAAACCTGGCGAACATTGCAAATCGTCTCATTGCGGCTAGTTCTGCTCATTGGAGGGTGAGATTGAACTGAAAGATACACCTCGTTGAATGAAATAGCCTGGAATTAGCAACAGATTGAGCCTGGGTGTTCTGGCCTTGTAGAGCGATTGTGGTACGACGGCAAGAATTGCTTCAACCGATTCAAGCACGTGGGCTGTGGATTGTAAAGCTAAGCCGNNAATGTACATCGCTAAAGGACGCGTGGTGTGGTAGCGACGCGTATACAAGCCAAGCAGTCAGTCAAGCAAGGACTTGATAACATATCCTTAATGCTTTATGTTATGCTGTATGTCTATACGTTAGATGTACTAAAGAATTATTACTTTATAATTTATATGCGAAATTGTAGTAGCATTGCATGCCTGTAGGTGAAACTGTAGTATTCTTGGCACAGTACATCCATACATCTGTCTCTTATACACATCTAGATCTCAACCTGTCTCTTATACACATCTAGATGTGTATAAGAGACAGAAGTAGTACATTTATATGTATCAATTTTGTTTATGTTATATGGAAAATAAATTGAACTTTGAACTTTGAAATACATTATCCCTATGTTTTATGCATCGTGAACATGGTTAGTTATGAGACCCTGGTCTAGTTGCTCTAGGCTTATCTAAAAAATAAACCAATTATCTTCAAAAGCTCTACGACACAGATTTAGCTCAATTGCTCTGTTGGCCAGCATTTTTTCAATAACACCATAATGTCAAGAACTTGCTGTTTTGGTTTATTTTCATTTCAGTTATTTGCTGTTTTTGACTTCTCTGCAGTCCTACCACAATACTCATGGAATGAGCCGAAGAAAGGGTTGACAATTTTGTTCAAACTTGGCTGATCATTAGCTTTTACTACCATACTGTATATCATCATCACATAATGTTGATAGTAAGTGTTTGAACCACTGACCTGATAGGAAGATGACCTTGTCTTCCCTCCTGGCTTTTTCAAATGCTTCGTCACCCCATGGATACCTGAAAAATAGTGAAGATAATTTATTCAAAATAATAAATTATTATAAATAATGCATACAATACACTCATGAGGGCCTAGAGCATTATTGTAGTGGATTTATGTGCTTCTAAAGTCTTAAAAGTAATTATATTATCATTACTTATGGTGATCATACAGTTAAGTAAATAAGAAGATAGAAAATGTTTTGCAAGCATAAATATGAACCGTGCAACCTTTGAGTTAACTATCCTAGTCTGGAGGCCCAGGTTGAAAGAAGCCGCTTTTAGGAGATCTGATCCTGCTTTCTTTAAACACATTTTATTGTATTTCCCAGGTGGGGGTTTAGACTACCTAAGCCCCACCAGATTTTTTTTTAAATTTATGATTATTCACCTCTAGATGGAAAATTGCACTCTCAGACCTAATTCTGAATATATTCTGGCCATACACCCCACTCCCCCACCATTTGAATCCGCAAGAGTGAGGGAGATGATGCTGATTCTGGGAGATTCCTGTAACATGTGGGGGATTTGGAACCTTTGCCTTGTTGGCAATGGTTGTTCCAAGTATATAGCACATTTTTGTTTAGGTTTTATAAATGCTCAGGGGGCCTAATATATCAAGATTCATTACATGGCTTCAAAATCAAGGGTAGTGCCCAAACTTGGTGTGGGGAGGGGTGATATGTCCCAGATAAGAGCAAAGTGGGCATGGTCAGGCATCAATTAAACTTTTTCAAATATAGTCCAGGTGATGAAAGCCCACGAAAAATTTGACAATTTAGGGGTTTCAATGCTTATTTAGTCCATTTTAGTGGGGATGCTGAATGATATTTAAAAGTCATCCCCTCCATCCGGTGGTTGTAGGAAGCATTATAGAACGTAGTGGTAGACTTGGGTACCGGTCGGCAAAACGAACCGTCACCCTCAGTCTTTTATTCCTAGAGGAATTAAATTGTATAAATGAAAAATTTTCGAGATAACCGAACGGGCGGCTATGTAATTTCCAGCAATGGATTAAATAAAGAGTATGTCTATGTCTATGTCTACTATTTATTTAGAAATTAAAAATAATTTTTTTTCTTCTGATGACTGTGGTTTTTCTCCCCGACAGTTAGACGAGCTCTCTCAGACAGTCTCCGCCCCGCTGGCACCAGCACTATGTAAAGTATAGGCTGCCCCCATAACCAACCCGACAGTAGCAGTGATCACCATCATTAATTTCTTTTATTGATTGGGAAGGTAATTTTCATATTACATCACAACTAACTTTGCAAGAATAAAGTTTTGAATACATGGCTTCTTTCTTACCAGTCTACTGGGTTACTTGCATGTTGCAATAGGTACGGTGACCTTTCCTTTGACAGGCGATTCTTAAAAAATGTTTCTCCGTTGCCACCAGTCGCCATATTTCTAGCTAATACAACAAGAGTTCTGATTGGTAGTTGAGTTAAGAAAGCTGGCACATGCCTGCTCACACAATTATACATAAGGGACTCTCAGGTAGAAAAGCCTACAAAAAAATGGAATAAAATTATTTGTTTAAGTATCGTATTTGGAAAAATGTATATAGATTTATTATTGAGAATTTTTTTCGTTATTATGTCAATTATCTGTATAACAAATCTTAAGCTCTCACACCACTTGAGTACAATCTTGTATGGCTTTGAAAACAAACAAAAGATATCATGCAAACCTATTCAGTTTCAAGAAAACATACACGATTTGTGCAATAATCACAATTCTAATAAAATTAAAATTTTAATCCTGCTTTATTATTTGTGTATATTTTAACCGCATGGATCAATGACATTTAAATATAAGAAAAATAAATGCAAAAATTACTGCATAACTCAATTATACAAAACTAGTTTGGTTTAAATATTCTTTCCTCTTGAATGAAGAGACAAAATTTAGTTAAGAATACAATGTGTCAATAATTAATATTTATAAATATTAAAATAATATACTATATTTTTATAAATTTGTTCCTCAGATCAGATCAGATTTCTTTTATTTTCCACAAATAACATAAAAATATGAAATATATGTGGAGGAGGCTATAATAAAATCATGTGCTGCGCAGCACAGATCTTTAGGCTAATAGCCCCCTAAACAAAAAGCATAATAATAATAATAATAATAATAATAATAATAATAATAATAATAATAATAATAATAATAAATATATATAATAATAATAATAATAATAATAATAATAATAATAATAATAATAATAATAATAATTACAATTAATACCATCATCATCATCATCATAATTTGCTGTATTTAAAAAAAGTCAAATAATAAAAATTATGTACATTTAGTTCGCAAAAAGAAAGTTTTTAGTATAGCTAACTGATTCAACAATTAAATAGTATACAATCAGAAAACAGTGAAATAATTGGAAAATAAATAAATACATGGTATTACTCACCATATGCCGAGATCAGAGACATTTTAAAGGAGGATTAAAAGCTGGTGATGGATGGTTTGTTAATAAGTTCTTGGGGTATATATTTCCACAATTTGGGGCCTACATTGAAAATCGAAAAAAGTTGTGTATTGCACGGATATGTTGAATAAAAGTTGTTTGTAGAAAATCTTGTGGGATAATTGTGAACAGATGAAACTGATGTAAATAAGTCATTTAATTGAGAAGGTAAAGTTTGTTTAAATAATCTGAACAAAAATATAGCTATTTGAAATTTTTTTTGTCATAAATATTAAGAACTTTAAAATTATGAAATAAAAGTTTAGTATGGGACCTATATGATGCATGTGTACAAATACGCAAAGCACGTTTTTGAAGGAGAAAGAGCTTGTCATATTTCGTACTTTCAGAATTTAACCAAGGACATAATGACTCAAACTTGTTTGTATTTACTGCCCATGCAATATTACCGTAAGAAAGATATGGTAAAATAAGAGTGTTATATAAAATTAATAAAATATTGGATGGCAGATAAAGCTTTAATTTGTTCATCATTCCCAAATTTCGAGAAATTATATTAGCTACACTTTCTGTAAGACGAGTAATTTTAGCATTATCCATGTATAGGTCATCTTTAAATTTAGTAGATTTGGATTTATTAAATATAATATAATTTGTTTTAGAAATGTTTAAAGAAAATTTATTTAGTTTAAACCAGTCTGATACTTTGATTAACTCTTAATTCATTGTTTGAAATAATATACTTTTATTTTTATACGAATAGAAAATATCTGTGTCATCTGCAAATAAAATAAAGTTAAATAATTTAGAACAATTTGGAATATCATTAACATAAATTAGAAACAAAAGAGCTCCTAAAATCGAGCCCTGAGGTACACCGCACGTTATGGGTAATAAAGAAGATTCAACAGAATTTTAAAAAGTAAGTTGTTGACGGTTTGACAAGTAGCTTTGAATTAATTGTAGTGGAAGGCTTGTGATACCATAATATTCAAGCTCATGAATAAGAATATCGTGATTGATGGTATCAAAGACAAATCAAGGAAAATTCCAATTGTTACTTCGTTTTTGCTTAAGGCAAAAGTTATTTTGTTATAGATGTCAATTAATGCAAGGTCAGTGGAATATTGTTTTCTAAAGCCATATTGTCTATTACTGTATAAATAATAGTTAATTCCTTATTCAAATTTAATTAAAGTGACAGTTCATTATTTTTTTAATGTATAGTGTTACTTTGTAGTTTTTTGTATGGGTGTGACCCTTGACTTTTTCTACCATATCTAGCCATAGTCATACTTCATTTGCATATCAGCCTTCTATGGTGATAAAAAGTACTTCTAATTTGCTGTAACATGCAAGATACATATTGGTTGGGTTGTTTGCCTTTGGACCAAATTGATAAACTTCAAATATCTCTAGTTAATTATTTTCATGCAATCATGAGCACAGTCACGTCACAGTAGTGTCTTGGAAATTCCCATTTCTAAAGAGCAGCCACATTTATTCACAAGTCACTCTGATCCCTAAAACTGCTTGGAAAACTACTACAGTACCTGAACCGAACGAGAAATATGGGAAACTACATCAGCATCATTGTAAGTAGCAGATATTAATTTAGTGCTTCATTAATAATAAATCAAATAACAGCCAAAATCAAATAACAGCCAAATCTTATAAGTTTTATTTATCATTTTTTACTAATTATTTATAAACAGTGAAATCTTTGCCACTGAATTGTTAAGTCACAAAAAAATATTCTATAACTATACTTTCAAAGAAAATCAATTTAATTAACTGGTCAATTTTTGGCACAGCAGAGCAGAAATTGAATGAAGTAAACAGTTGATAGGACAGCAAGAAATTAAATACTAAAATACCATTTAAAACTAAAATAAACATTTACTGCAGTGCACCCAACTGACAAGACCATCTCAGAGAAATGTTCAAGCTAATTATGAAACTAAAATACAAGGTTTCCATGGTGAATAACTTTTTCAGGGTAAAATTTAAGACGGAGTAATCTGTCCATGAATTCTTAAAATAATGGTAAATTTCCATAAAAAATTTTGAATACAATTTGACATATGATTTGTGCATTTTTAACCAAATGGTTTCAATACTACTAGCTGTAAGTGGATTGGAGGTAGTCTATTTAACTCCAGCATTAAATCATAAACACTATTTTTGCAAATTTGAAATGAAAATTTCAGATAGGCTGCCAACTACCACTGGGGGACTTCCAGAGGCCTACACACTGTGCGCTAAGCAGTTATCAGTGTGTACGCGGCACTCTATCTGACACTAGTTAGCTGCTCAGGCTGTTAAACCGCTGGAAGTCCCCTAGTGAGTTGCAAGATGATGCTAGCGCTCTTCAAAATAAACCCGATAAAATCGTCTAAACTGTTAGAATAGTAACGTTTTTTGAAACGTTAAATAAAACAATTTTCGTTTTTATCTTTAGACAGGATATTAACAATTAACATGTTATATCGTCATTGCGGACATATAAAATCCGCATACGCATTAAAACTAAAAGAAAATGAATACGTTTAGAGTTCGTACTGAGCCCAAAAAATCCGCAATGAAAATATAATGTGTTAATTACGAAAAATATAAATTGAATTTCATAAGCTGAACATAAAAAATAATAGAATAGTAATAAAAACTATTAATAATTGTTATTATTATATAGGTAAAACTATTATGCTTATCTTTTCAGTACACCAAGATAGCTAACTGGCAGAAACCAGTGTGTTCACTACATAAAAAAGAGTTGGAATTTTATTGCAATGTTTGTAAAACTCCAATTTGTCAAATATGCACTAACAAAGACCACAAAAAAGCTGAAGGAAAGCATGAACCAATCAGAGCTTCCGATGCATTCAATGACTTCAAAGCAACAGCTAATTCCTTGATGGTTCCGGCGGATTTCCACAAACAACAGGCACAAGTTGGGATATGCAAATGTATTGCAAATGTCTCCGAATTTGATTACACTAGAAATTATATTACAAAAGACATCAACGACACCGTGGAAGAAATAGTTAGATTAGTAAGAGAATCAGGATCAGCTTTAGAAAGGAAGTTAGGTGATATTTGTGGGAAAAAGGACTGCAACTCTCAGATTGACAAACTCAAAGCAAATATAACAGATGTTGAAGAAAAACAAGATTGCATCAAGAAATTATTGACATGTGGTGAAGCAACAGCTCTCCTTACATGTCACCAGGCAGTACAAGAACTACAACAAAAGATTGCTGTCTTTCCAGAGACAAAACCTAGAGATGATGTGAAGGCTTACTTCTATTCAACAAAACATCATGTTTTAAGTTATTTAAAGAAACAGGGAATAGGTAGTGTTAGTGAAAACCCAAATGAAAATATTTTTGAAATTGTATCTGAAAATCCAATTACTGTGACATGTTATCAACCTTTCCGTATTGAAATTACACAAACATATGAATGTGAAATAGACATCAATGACCTGACGGTATCAAAGGAGAAGACGACACCTTCCTCAAAGCAACCGGAGGAATGCACTTCTCCATTTAGCAGAATTGTTCAGTTTCAGGGAAAATATTTTGTTGAAGGATCCTCAAAATCAGATTTGACATTGGATGTCAAGTTTTGTAACTCTCCAATAAAAGGATCTCCAATTAAAATCATTGTTGAACCTGTTGGAATTGTACGATCTATCACAAATATTGGTCAATCTACAGGTATTATGAGGAATTATCACGAAGGAATCCAAGACTTTGTGATGTTTGAAAATGGTAGTTTTTTAGTTGTTTGCACCTGTAAATATGAGATCTTTAAATTTGAAAACACAGGGGCATACATCAGTACAATTAAATTACCAAACAGTGAAAAAATTTTTAGAATATGCAAACTAAAAAAAACCCACAAATCAATATGTTGTATTACCAATATAATACAAGATAGAGAATCCACAATATATTTTGTGAGTGAAGATGGTCAGGTGATCAAATCAATATTAATTGATAATAATATATACTCTAAACCAACTCCATCTGGTATTGATGTGAATGATGCCTCAGAAACAGTTTATGTTGCCTATCAAACTGAGCATTATGTGAAAACATATAACATGTTAAAAGAAAATTCCCAAAATGGATATAGATTTGGATATGGATACCGGAATAAGGGTAGTCTTGAAGGACAAATGAAAGGTCCTTCTGATGTTGCTGTAACAAAAGAAGGGAATCTTATTGTGTCTGAAACTGACAATCACAGAGTGCAATTATTTGGCTCTGATGGTAAATGCATTAAAGTTCTTATTGGTGGAGGGGATAAAGATGGGATGGTGATAAGGCCCTCCAGAGTAGATGTTGATTATGATGACAACATTATTGTAGTGAGTGAACACAAAGTACAATTATTTGACAAGCATGGCAAGTTCCTTAGAGTGATTCATCAACTTGACAAAGGAGAAGATAAGAATTTTGTGATTTCTATTGCCTCACATTATCCTCGAAGACTTGCAATAGCAGAAGTAAATTCAATTATGATTAATGTAATTAATTATTAGACAAACATGAATACATGTCTTTTTAAACCCCACTACATTATTGAGATTTGTTATTCAAATTTAACTCTCTGAGGTGAGGTTAAAACAAACTTTATTTTCACTGTCATATTTTGCTAATGTAGCCCTACTTCAAAGTTTCATAGTAGCTTTCAAAATGTTTAAAAGAGATTTTTTGCTTTGTTTTGTATTTTCTTGCAAACTTTGTGTGTATAATGAATATTATGTAATGTTTTTTCCCTGTTTATTTTTGCAGTGTGTAACTTTTGCTTTTATAACACCAAAATGTAATATGTTTGAACATTGTAAAATAAATCTATTTGTTGATTTGTGCTTCATGATGAATAAATTTTATTAGTACTAATACTACTACTATAAAACCTGTAAATATATCAAACACTGAATTACTTAATTTGTGTATCAACAAAATTAGTTAATGTTTATAAAGAGGATTCTATTGATCAAGCGTGTCGAATGCTGTGCTCAGATCTAGCACCACATGAATCACAATTTTACCTTCCTCTAATCATTTAAGTCTGATTTAATCTTTGATAATGCGGCAATTTCTGTGCTATGGCAAGTTTTGTATGCCGATTGGAAAACGTCATTCATGTTGTTCAAAGACATGTCATGTTTTTAAAATAGATCAAGGAATGGTTATTCAATCAAATTGCCTAATGTTTGTTGATTTAAAAGCAGCATATAGTTAACAAGAATATAACCACTGCAACCAATACGATTGCAATAGTATACAACACCTCGCACAAATTTCTGTCATTTCTCTGGGGTGTTTTATTTATTTATTTTTTAAATTTTTTTATTTATACATACTTGTTTTTTTTTAAATTCTTTATTGATGTTTTTTACGTCTTTTGTGATTTAAATTGTTATCTTTATCATATTGTATATTTTATGAGTGAGGGGGTAGCTGGCTTGAAAAATTATAGTGATTTGTTTGCTTAAGCTTCCCCCGACCATCTTTTGATCAAATAAATAAACTGAAACTGAAACTGAATGGTAGCACTGCTGGCACTAATATAGTTTTTCATCACTAAAATTTGACAGAATAGTAAGGCATGCTTGAATTGTACTTTCCGCGCTCGCGATTTGATTTTCCCCTGACGACCTTACTGTAAACTTCCCAACAAGAAGGTCCAAGCAGGGGTTCAGAGGTTCTCATCAGGGGAGCTTTTTTGTTTCCCGGACTTCCCATTAGTGCTGCCCCTGTTAAAATTGACTTTAATGTACCAATATACAGTATCTTTGTTTAATAATTTTCAAGTAATCATGAGCACAGTCACGTCACAGTAATGCCCTTGAAAATTCCCACTTCCTAAAGAGCAGCCATATTTCTTTACAAGTGAGGCACTATATAAATCCAAAATTATTATCATCATTATTATTACTGCTTGAAGAACAACCACATATAGTACCTGAACCAGTTTTTTCGTCAAACAACTTTTTTCTGTCTTAGAAAAGTCAGTTCTACAACATACCAATTTTTTTTTTTTTTCCGGAGCCTGACTTTAACCTAATATTAAAGTACAGTACATGTGAAAGAAGAATTGTGGGAACCATATTTACATCTTCGCAGATATCTTACTGATTTAGCGTTTGTAAGTTTAGCTTCATCTTCATCATTAATTCGTGGGTTAGTATGAACATCAAATTATTATAATTTTTTTTTTTTTTAAGAAAAAGAGAGTTCTAAATCACAATTATACGGTTTAGATGGGGTTTGCAGTGTGTTTAGAGGTTTGTGATGTATTTGCAAGTATTTTTTCATAAAAAATCTAAATTTTAACCAAAAAATAGTTATGAATGTATTTAATTTTCTTACTGATATACCAAGTCAGTCAATCACAATTGAATTGTTTGATTTTCTACAGTGTGTTTTGGGAGGTTTGTGGGATTTAGCAATACCACTTAATCCTATCATAATCACCCTACCCTCACAATCACACGCCATTTTTTCGGGGCCATTCTTACCTACATTCATACATTGTACTAGTTTATTGATGATGGGTCTAGCATGTGTTCTTAAAATGTTTGAATTGTAAACATGTGTCAATCACATCTGTGCCTTCTTAAATCGGCTCATGCAGGAAAAAAGGAAAGGACCCAGGAAATATACTATGGCTATATACAGTCAACTCTCCCAATGCCGACCACCCAGAAAACCGGATTTCACGCAAAACCGGTCGTTTTTTACAGTCCCAACATCATTCCTATTCTTAGTGTATTAAAATACTTTCTGAAAACCGGATCTCCCAATTCCGAATTCCGGCCAAATTCTTAAGTCCGGAACAATAAAATTACCTTCTGAAAACAGGACGGCCAGTTTAAAACGATGATTTATTTACGAAATATGTTAAATAAATCATCAGAGACACATCGACTGGCTCCAAATAACAACTATCAATCACAGAACAACACCACATGTACGATCGTTAGTGTTGATCGTGTGACACGCCGATAGCGCATTAATTAATTAATTGCAATAAGCCTAGATTTCATTTGTTTAATAAACTGATTGTTTAATAAAGTTCATGAGAGTGTGTTTTCTTTATTAAGGAACGTATCCTTTTCTTACATTTTGCATTCATTTTCACGCTAGGGCAAACCAAGCGGTCCCACGCTATCTTCATAAAAACAATTGTGCATGACACTTCGACTGTCACCTCTGACTGTTTTCTATTGGCTGACGC